ATTTGCTTTTGCTTAAAGATTCTCCTACAATTCCACAATCTTAAGACCCCCACCAAACCTGGCTCACTCCTCACCTGATGCTCTGGGCTGAGCAGTCACATGGACTTTTATTAGAGAAAATTATTTTGTTTTCTGTAAGTATGCACACACACTCTAGCCTTCACATTTCTGGAAAATACATTCGCATACTATGAATAAGGATCTTCTTACTAGTTTATCAAAAGTTCTTTTTAAAAAACTCCAAGTTCAAATGCACATAAAAACACTGATACCTGTGTCCAGAGCCATTTGCCCAAATGCATGGCTTCCCATTCACAGGAAGCCTTCCTACATACACCAGGTTGAGCACCGGACAGATGAGACTCACTCTAAACAAACATTAAGCATACTACAGAGGCAAGAGCCTGCCTCAGTTCAAACATCAACAGAAGCTTAGTCCCTATTAGCCAAGGCAATAATTTCTTTATAGACTATGTTGATCCTCTTAGCACATGACATTACTTGAGATTGAAAATGTTCCTTTGATAATAAAGAATGTTGACAGCATTTACCAGATAAGAACAAACAATTCCATGTCCACTAAATGAGATAACTTCTGAAAGTACAGTCTTACAGAAGACACATATGACAATGACACTATTAGATATTTATGTAAATAAATGTTCATGACATTATACTCCTAGCAATGGGAGATTTTTCTGTGCCTCCATTCTGCATGACCATGATTTACACAAGTATTTAAGGTTGATCATGTTCTCAGGTAAAAATAACTTACTTAAACACTACAGTTGCCTATTATGTGACACTGGATATTTATACTTGAAACTAGTAATATAGTGCAAGAACTTATCATATTAATACACTGTCACCAAAGATAATATAAAGTAATGCTTTCTACAGAAGAGACCCAAGGCTTCAATGAAGAAAGGGTACAAATCTTCAAATCAAGGTATCAATATGGTTATTCCTCAGGTCAAATGCTCAGTATTACTTGAACATCATGGGTTTCCTTCCCATGTTGGCCAACAGAATAGACTTGGTCTGCACCCACAGTTATGGGCAGGGACATTTCCATGACCAGTTTTCTGGACTTAATGGGGAGGAGGGAAGACATCAATAGATGAAAACAAACATTATTACTCTTAAAAGAGTAACTCAGAGTATATGTCCAACTGTAATGAGCCAGAAATTTTTTTCTTGGAATATGAAGGGCACTTTTGACTGGGGAAGAAAGCAAATGGAAGCTTCTGGAGAAAAATTATAGGTGTGCAGATTCCAAGTCAGACCTACCACTGAATTGACTCCCTGAATCTGGATGTGTGGTCACTTATCAAATATTGCCATCAAGGAATGAAATTGCTAACATTTACTTCAATCCTCCTTGCAGTAGTGGAGGCACAGCAGTTGTCCCATAGAGCTTGTACTTACCTACTTGGAGCCAATGATCCAGCTGTGAGTTAGCTTCCAACTGTGTAGTTGCTACATAGGGGAAGGGTAAACCCTATTCTTCAAAGTCACAATCCATGAGACAGCTTTCAAGCACTGGACAAATAATCAAAATGTGGACATTTTATTATTCTCCCTCTTCGTCCTCCAAAATGTGCCAAAATTAATAAAGAAATGATAGATTCACAGGGAAAAATGATAAAACAGAAAGCTACCTTTTTTCTCCATTTGTGCCTCCCAGTAGGAAGTAAAGGAAATGACAACTGCTTATACAGAAAACAGGACTCTATAACTCAGAATCTGTGTTCAAATTTCCCCTGGAGTTCCCTTCAAGAGAACAGTTCCACATAAAACACTCTCATCTTGACTAAAAGAGTTTTAGAAGGCAGCCCAAGCAGTTGCTTATGTGTTTTTTAAAATATCAGATCCTATGTCATAGACTATAGGTTGCAGTCCATGCAACTTGGTTTTCCTCAGGGACAGAGAAAATGTAGAGGAAAAGAAAAGAGAGAGAAAGGGGAGGGGGGAGTAAGGGGGGAAGGAAAAAGTAAAGCACAAGCCAATGGTACAGGCTATCTAGAAACATTTTATTCTCTGTGCACAATTCTCCTGACTCAAAATTTCCTGCTGATTAAAAAGATCATGTTGGAACTAGGGGTGTAGTTCAGTTGGTACAGTGCTTGCCTAACAAATGTGAGTCACTGTGTTCAATCCTCAGCATCACATAAAAATAAATAAATAAAATAAAGGTATTGTGTCTATCTACAACTAAGGGAAAAATTTTAAAAAGATCATGTCAAAATGTGAATGATCTCTGTGAGCACAACTTCCAGCAAGTCCTGTTCTGGAAGAAATGCTCTCATGACCAAACCTCATTGCAAGCTGACCCATAAGGAAGAATGGTTTCCTCCTGAGAATCATCTATGAATGAAGGAAAAATGACATTCAGTCTGTGTGCGAAGAAGACCTACGCATTTTTTTAGGTTTATGTGCACTTCTCATTTCTTTTGTGTTGGTGCTTAAAAATATTTCAGTTTAGTCATAAAGTCTATAGGAAAGGATTATTTAAGTTTTCAAAGCACTTCTTAGGAAAATGAAGGTTAGCCAGCAAAACTGTTGAGCAACACTGAGGTCCATGGCTTTGTATTAGAACCTGAAATCCCACACTGCTAGCAAACTCCTCTTTAAAATTTCTCACACACAAGAGGCCAGCCTCAGCAAATTAGCAAGATGCTAATCAACTTAGAGAGACCTCATCTCAAAACAAAAAAATAAAAAGGGCTGGGGATATAGCTCAGTGGTAAAGTGTCTGGTGTTCAATCCCCAGTACGGCAATATTAATTAACTAATTTAATGTAATATCTCATAAGATGGTACAGACATGAGAATAAACTCTCTATCATGACTTGATAATAACAGATTTCAAATACATGTTTTAAGTACCTTACTTATACACACACACACACACACACACAAATACTTCCCAAATAATCAGAAAACAAAGAAATATTAGCTTATCTAATTAGCTTGTCTAATGAGGTTAATAATATTTATTCTCCATTATTTCTACTCCCACAAGTCATACTATCAGAATGGGAGCCCTAAGGAATTATCAAATGACTTTTTCTAGACTCTGTGAACCTTTAAAGCCACAAGCCATTTAAATAGAATCTTGACATTTGAAGAACCATCAACAGATTGACCTTATTATCTAAAATGTCCGTGGCAATATAAATTTATTTTTTAACATTAATTTGAGTACTAAATACAACAAAATAAAAAGAGGGTGATACATGAAAGCTAGTGTTGATATTTACAGAGTCAGCCAGAGAGCCACAGGGAGCTGAGCTTAGAAATACATTCACTACAGGCAGATGTACTGCCCCTCCCCACAGAGCACCTGCACTTGTGACTCCTTAGCAAGAATGCTCAGTGTCAGAGGGGGCACCCTCTTGGATTCCAGGAAATGCAATACCAATGAAAAACAAAGAAAGAGTAAAACAACTAACAATGTCAATATCACACAATTAAAACTAAGGAAACAGGAAAGGCAGCAAAGTCCTCTGCTCCTCTCATGGCAATGGTTTCTGAAGCCACATTTACTCCAAGTTATAGTGACCTCCAGTGACTTATTTTTAATTGTACTTCAGTGACTGTGGGTGGAATTATCTGACAATTTGTTTCTACAAACAATTAATTAGTCTGGTTATTTTTAAATCTCTTAGCAAAATGACAAAGCTTTCTTGAAGGACCTTAATGATTGGGTTTTATGTAAATGCCCCGTTTGAATTAATTCATGGAGGTGGTTACACAAAGCTAAGTTAAAATTGTGTCTGAAATGCAGGTTGGCATTTGCATGTTCATTTGTTGCAGAGACTCACCTACACTATGGCCCTAAATGAATGGTGGAAGGGTAACTTTGCAATGCTTTTCCCTTCAGGCTAAACTTTCCCGTGATGACAAAGCTAAATCTGGATACATGGCAGCAAGGTCAATTCTGAACATGCCTACCAGCACTTTCTTGAAAGTCACATTAATTTGTCCTCCTGCCCACAACTCGATTTAAAAAAAAAAAAAAAAAAAAGAGGAGGTATGGCAGAAGGGAGTGAAGGACATGAGAGACTTAAAAAATTCCTCAGGTAAGGGGCTGGGGGTGTGGCTCAGCGGTTGAACACTCCCCTAGCACTTGCGAGGCCCTGGGTTCGATTCTCAGCACCATATAATTATAAGTAAATAAAATAAAGGTATTGTGTCCAACTGTAACTAAAAAGTGAAATATTTTTTAGAAAAAAAAATCCTCAGGTAAAGAAAAGCCTGTCATGGAGATCCTTAAACTTTTTAAACTTTGTTTTTTAATCGTCAGATTAAAATGCCTTGAGGTCTGCTGAATCTATCTGGCTAGCAAACTGAACCCCTCAAAATTAGAAGCAGAACAAATCACAAAATACAAGCACTTGAACGTTTAAAACCTGAATGGCAAAACATTTTTCCGCTAAGCAAAAGCCCTCTCAGGAGAGGAGCTGGAAGTCTCCCAGAACATGCCACGAAATCTAGGTACCCTGCTGCTGTGCCTACCAATGCAGCACCAGAGTTCTCTGGTCCGCCCCACCCCACAAAGCGCCAACTGCAAGGATATACGCTATGCAGGACAGAACCAGTTCAGCAGTTGTTTCTCTTTCTTACATAGTTCTTACAAAACGCACTTATAATGAAACTGCATCAGTGATGGCACTTGCAAGCTCCTCTCAGTTCGCTCGCCTCATCTCATCTCTAAATATCCTCATGCTAATTTTAGGTTTTACAAGAACTTGCGCTTACTCAAAGAATATGCAAAAAAGCAGCCTAGGTCTGGGGCCACAAAAGTCAAAACATGCTTCGTATATTTTAGATGCGACAAGAGGGAAAACAATTTTAAACCATCCTATCTTACCGGCGGGACTTGGAGATATTTTTAACGCTTCGTTTTCAGAAACAAGCCAGTGTTACATTTGTTAACCCTAACAACACAATTTCTAAGTTATCAATATAAGTTTTAAAAGCTCTACTGTACTCACAAGTATTCCCCGCCACCACTTTGCTGCAGGTCTGCGCAGACAAAAGAGCTAGCATCTTGAGCAAGGCTCCAGCCACAGGGTCCATGTCTACACTCTCTGGGGCTTCCCCACCCCACACTCAATATCTCGCTCCGTGCCCAGATCTCCTGGCGCGCGCCTTTCTTTCCTCTTTCTCCAGCCCGCGCAGCCTGACGCGGCGCGGAGGTGGAACCTGCAGCCGCACCCACCCAACCGCCACCAGGCGTTCCTCGCCCCCAACGCCTGCGGAGCCGCGCGGTCCAGGCAGCTCTGGGCCGGTGCTTCCAGTGTGCCGCTGGCGCTCCTAGTGGTAAGTAGGGAAGTGCAGACAGGAACCGCAAATCACACCTGGATGGCTGCTGGTGATGCAGGGGAGGGGTGGCTACAGACCTACTTTCCTAGCTAGTTTGCCCTAAGTTTCCCCACACAATATGCCCCCGCTAATATGAACAATTCGATATACTTCAATTTAAAGAAGCCAAGTATGAGTGGTACTTGCTCATTAGCATTGTGTCTCCACATAGTATTGAGGATGGATGGTAGAAAGTCTGTAAATATTTTGAGTTGAAAAGAGGTTGGAACAGAAATAACTAAAAGAGGTTTGAAGAAAATGATTACACATAATAAAACTTGCAACAAGAATATTTTTGTCTTCTCAGTTCGTTTCATGAACCAGATTTAAAAAAAAAAAACACTCCAGCTGTAATGTAAGATTTTTATTGTACATGTTCCTACTTGTAAACTTGAGAGTGCTGGTCATTATGTATCTAAAAGAATTATGAATTAGTATCCTAGGAGGAATAATCTTAGTCCAAATTCCACAAGAGAAGCAGTGACCTTACACTAAATAAGGGGACCTGACAGATTTAATTAGTGAATGAAGTTTGGTGAATTTGTATTGTTGCTTTCCACTCAGCTTAATTTCCCTAAGGGACATTTTGAAAACTAATAAAATTTGTAGGTAAGGAACTGAGAGAAAAATATGCTTCACACTCTAAATCATCCAGAAGACTCAGGAAAAGAGAATCAGGGGTTTCAAGACTCATGACCTTGAAAAATATTAGCAGACTTAGAGGAATCCTCTACTTCCTGAACAGGCTGTGAGCAGAAGTAAATGAAGGAGTCATGAACTGGCGCCAAGTACAAGATTAGTGAATGCAGCCTATGGGAAGGTTTTTTAGTCAGTTTTTGCCTCACTGTGACCAAAAGACATGACAAGAACAGGAAAAGTTTATTTTGGCTCAGTTTCAGAAATCTCAGTCCATAGACCAACAGCTCCATAGCTCTGGGCCCAAAGTAAGGCATAATATCATGGCAGAAGGGTGTGGTGGAAGAAAGCAGCTCAGGGCATGATGAGGAAGCACAGAGAGCTCAGCTGACCAGGGATAAAATGTGAACCCTAAAGGTAAGTACCCAATGACCTTACCTCCCCCAGCCACACTCTCTCTACCTGCCCACATTTACAGCCCAGTTAATCCATATCTGTGAATTAATCTACTGATAAGGTTAAGTGTTTTAGTCAGCTTTTTTGCTGCTGTGAATAAAAGGACTGAACCAGAACAACTGTAGAAGAGAAGTTTATTTGAAGGTTCACAGTTTCAGAGGTCTTAATCCATAGAAGGTTGGCTCCATTCCTCGGAGCTCAAGGTAAGGCAGAACATCATAGCAGAAGAGTGTGGCAGACAGAAGTAGCTCACCTGATTATCAGTAAGCAGAGAGAGACTCCACTCACCAGATACAAATATATATCCCAAAGCCATGCCCCCAATGCCCTAACTCCTCCAGTTACCACTCAGTTAATCCCATTAATTCACTGATTGGGTTAAGGCTCTCACAACCCAATCATTTCTTCTCTGAACTTTCTTGCATTGTCTCAGAGGTGAGATTTTGGGGAACATCTCACATCCAAACCATAACATTAAGGCTCTCAGAACCCAATCATTTCACCTCTGAAACTTCTTGTATTGTTTCACACATGAGCTTTAGGGGACACCTCATATCTATGTATACATTCTCACTGCATACATAGATCAGAAAATGAAAGCTCTTGGGCATCTATCTGCATAACTTGGTGCATCTCTGCAAGCCCAAGCATACTAAGAACATGAACAACTGGATGGCATCACCAGGGAGTATGAGCTGCTTTTTAAAGCCAGCAGCATTGATAGCACTGATGAAGACCCACACCACCACAGGTGTGGCAGGCCATGCTGGAGTAATATCCCCCCCCCAGTAAAGACATCACAAGAGAACCCCCCACCATCACCCCGTTTGTGGCAAGGTTAAACTTGCAGACCTAAAAGACAGGTTAAAGGAAGTATTTTCCCACTGTGGTGACATCTGGCAGCTCCAGGTGGTGAGGGACTTGGTCATGAGCTTCTCCAAGGACTATACCTTCACAGAGTACAAGAAAAAGTTTGAGCTGCTGAAAGCCTATCTGGATGCCAGTGGCCTGGTGATACACCTGCACATGATATTAGTGGACTATGAACTGGAGCAGACTCTCCAAGGGTGGATCCCTCTATATCTGGGGTGGGAGAACTAGGAGGAAAGAAGGAATCTGGGCAGTAGAGACTTGGGGAAACTGATTGGCCTTTTTGAAAATATGAATTTGCTGTTTTTTAAGTACCACCTCTATAGCGAAGGATAAAGAGTAAAGGAAGGAGTGATCCCAATACCAAAAGAGACACTAGGACTCCTGGACAAAGGATCCAGACCAAGGACAGGGGTCAGGAAGAGATGTCAAGAAAGACAGCCAGCCAGGGTGTAACATAAAAATGACTGGCAAAAAGAGCAGGACCTTAGGACAGAGTAGGAAGTAAGCAATAACAGACCTGAAAAGGAAGGGACAACTAAGTAGGAATGGCAGGGTATTTGCCTTTATGCGTTAGACATACAAATCTGTACAGTTGAATAAGAATTACTGATAATGGGTTGGTGGGGGGGGGTTTGAAAGATTTTAAACCTTCACACTTGCCTGAAAACTAATCAGAAAAGGTGTTTTTATTATTGCTATTTTATAGTCAATAACAATAATAATAACAACATAGGACTAGAGAATTTAATAACCTGCAAAGGCCACAGAGCTAATACTAGATGTGCTGAGAGCTCAGTCAAAACATGTAGCTTCAAATTCCAAGCTTTCATTTGCCTTTACTCCTACTCAGGGGTTCAGAGAGCAGTCCTGGAGTCAGGAAAGTTCCCCACACCATAGATCAGCAGTCATGGGGAAAACACCGAAAAGAATATCCCAGGGAAGATGCAGGAGGTAAAGTGACTTTCATTCATTAATCAGATGCTTCTGCAGTATCTGCTGTTCCCAGCACCTAAATATTTTATTTTTAACTTTTTACAGCAAACATAAATTAATGATTTGCATTTAAAGTCTAACTTTTTAAACCTATATACCAAGCTCTGCATATGTATGTGTATGTGTGCACATGTACACACACACACACACACACACACACACACACACACACACACACACAGCTAGGTATACACCAAATAGGGGAAAGAAGTTGAAAGTTGAAAGTGGCATAAGCCTCCAAAAAAAGAAGAAACCAACAGCTGATGCTCAGGGCTGTGTGTCACTCATAAGAAGAACGGTAGATCAATCTTTCCCAAGTGAAAACAACCTCGTGGCATTTCCTGACCAATGCCTCCAGTCCTCTTCACACAGCTGGGCAAGCCCAGGCACTGAGAGACTTGAGGACCTGCCCCTGAGAGGAAGAAGGATCAAGTTGGTCAGCTGTAGTGAAGCCCTTTCTAAGGTTCTCTGCAGGTTAAACATGACTCCACTCATTTCCCTTCTTCATTAGTGATTTTCTTCCCTTAGATTGTTATTTCTGCATGTCTTATTTAAATCTGAAAATGCATTTAAGTTTACTCTCATGATGAGAACCAATTTGCTATTAAATCTTCTGAAACTGAAAGCACTGCAAATAAAATATAGTATTATTTCTATTAAAAGTAATTTTTCCCAGAAGCCCTCAAGCCACAAATCCTGGGGAACCGTTACCAATAGACAGCCTCCAGAGAGGATAAATGTCCCTTTGTGATATAGAACACACAGCTCAACCTCTATTTGGGTTCTCTCTGATGAGCTGCATTCTCTATAATGAGAATTTATTTAAGCTGGGGCTTAAATAACCAACAGATGATGCATTCAATTACATAAATCTCAATTCTTGAGAAGAGTTAACCTCACCTTTATTTCAAATCCAGGCTGCTTAGCCCAGGAGGACCCTCTGTAACCAACACTGGTGTCTCAGACAAGTAGGCTAAATTTCTACTGATAACTTGAAGTATACAAACAACACTGCATGCATATTTTGAAAAGTGCTTACAGAAACATTTTGTCTGACTATGTGTAAACAGACATGCAGGCACATTTCCTGGTGTTCTATAGAAATAGAACCAGAGATGCTTAGAATTAAAATGGAGCTTAGAGTTAGCAGGCCAACTCCATTCAAATACTACCATGCCCCAGTGTGGTCGTTGATGCTGTCTATGTATGACAACCACTGGCATTTCTCAAGTGCTCAGACAGGTTTACCAGAGGAAGAGGAAGACACAGAACCTCCTTCAATCACAGCATGAAGACTGTCACTGACATGACCACAGAGGATTCTAGGGGAAAGATTCTAGTGTATGACTCTTGATTTTTTTCACTCCTTCAGGAGTAGGAAGAAGGAAGCAAAGTTATGTGTATCCTTAAAAGTACTTGTTTTTTTCATTTGAAATGCAATTAAAATCTGGCTCGCACAATGGCACATGCCTGTAATCCCAGCAGCTTGTGAGACTAAGGCAGGAGAATTGCAAGTTCAAAGCCAGCCTCAGAAAAAGCGAGGTACTTAGCGATTTGGTGAGACCCTGTCTCTAAGTAAATTAAAATAGGGCTGGGGATGTAGCTCAGTGGTCAAGTGCCCCTGAGTCAATCCTCAGCAACCCCCCCCAATAATAAAAAGGTAAAAAAAAATTTAAAAATGAAATTAAAATCTAATCTCGACATAAATAGAATACTGAGTCATCTTGAAGAGGCAAGGTTTCTAAATGTAATTTTATAGATGAAGAATGTAAATGGTAAGTCTTTCAATATAGAAAGTTTAATAAATATCACTAAATAAGTTTGGATTGAAGATCTCATTTACCAAATGGAGAAATTAGTTCAAAAACAGAATTCTGACAGTCTATATGCTGTACCAGTCACAGTAGTTTGAGTAGAAACTGAAAGGGAGTTTTAAATGTTGAATCTATCTGTTG